GGGGGGGGGGTACAGGAGAAATAGAAGACCCCACAGTCAATAACGATACACACGGGTGGCTGAGGTCACTGTTTTATGACTTGTCATCGCCAGTGATTTATGGGCGCCGAACATGACCTAGATGACAATAAACCAATCAGCGAGCCCGTCGTGGCCGGTGGTTATATGGTCCTCGGTGGGCTGGTGGAGATGGACGTGTGTTTAGATATGTCAGTGCCATTTATCCAATGGCCTCTGGTTTAGGATTTTGTTGTGACGTTTATTTCTCTTGTTTGGGTTTTATTTTTTGTAATAAAGCTTCACAAAGATAAAAAAAAAACATAAGCACATGTTTCAACACGCGTATCCAAATCGTTGATACTAGGGAAACTTAGCGTATATACTTCGGTAGGCCATATCCAAGAACAGCCACTGTAAACTCCCTCTCTCCCATGCTGCTCATCCATTATGTCATAGCAGAATTCTCCCCGACCAGCCTTACTTATTTCTATATATTACGTTGACCCCAGGTGTATGGGACAAAATTTGTTGGGCTTTTAAACTCAATTTTTACCTTTAATGAAGGTCATGGAAACTTAATCCAATGAATAAGCTGCATGGACGGGTTCGGCTGTGAAATGTGTCCCTTTTTTGCGCCTTCCAGGGTATTCCGTATAGAATTGTCTTCTGAGTTGCCAAGAGTGATAAAGAGCCTGAAAGGTTCGAAAGGGTGAAAGGGATTTGTAGGTGCATTTCAAGGGCATGGTGTTGTGGGCCGAGCGCTCCGCGTCTGCAAATGTGACAGAAAAGGAAAAGTTTGTCTTGCTCTTGTCTAGACAGAACCATCTGAGATTTCCTCGCGGCCTTGAGAATCTGTTACTGACGACGTTTTGTGGTTGCTGTATAATTGGTTGAAAAGTGGAAAATTGTTCATGTTCCGGGGAGGGGAGGGATTTATGCAAAGTGGTGTCAGATAGAAAGGATGGGTCTTATAAGTGCAAAGTTTGCTGTTTTAAGGATAGCGGGAGAGACAGAGAAAGTAAGAGAGAAAGGAATAGACTGAGAGGTCCTTTGCAGGCAGACAGAGTTGCACCCCTCCCCTCTCCACAAAGAGATAGATGGGATTGATAGAGAGAGAGAGAGAGAGAGAGAGAGAGAGAGAGAGAGAGAGAGAGAGAGATGAAGAGACAGAAATAGACAGACAGACGAACAGACAGACAGACTGACACACAGACAAACAGACAGACAGACTGACACACAGACAAACAGACAGACAGACAGACAGGCATGCAGAGAGAGAGAGACATACATATAAAGATTGGGGTGAGGGGATATATTTTGCACCTAAAAGAATAGCGTCGAATCAATAACCCTCCCCGGCGTTCCCTCATCCAGCTTCAAACTGTCTTTAATAGGCTACGGGAACATCGCGACGTGTGGTATAGATACTCTCTGTTGAATTGTAATATGTTTTGTTGTCTACAAGAGCACATACAATGTACATGCTTTAGGTATCTGTGTTTCCTCCAACGCACTCACTCCCCTTTTTACACGTTCGTACGTCGCATTCTTATGTAGCAAGATGGAACTTCTGTTATGCAGAAGACAGCAACTCAAGGGCCATGGTTTTATACATTGGTGTACTTTCGTCAAGGGTGATAAGTGTCGAATGAACTTTACATCTCCGAATTCTCTTTAGACCTGCAATTGTTCCCCGAAATTCTCCTGTAACCAGTCTTGGCGTGGTCGGGCCCAGCGGTGGCAAAGCCCTTGTGAGGGCGACATTGGCTCCCCCTTTTCTCACCTTGGCTCACCCCGAAGGCCGCATCTTTTGTGCTGAGGACATAACTGTCGCTCGCAGGAATTGCCGTGTGTCGAACAACTTGGCACATCTGAGAGTGGGGGAATCAGAGCGAGTATTTGCCAACAGCTCTTGTGCCGCCCCCTGTCTTCGCGCCATTTTTTGTTCAATTTTGCCTTGGAGCTTGAAAGTGTGAGAGAATAAAAGACAAAAAAGAATGGCAAATTGGCTTTCAGAACGAAAGCTGCGAATATTCAGACTAATTTGAAGACAATGCGAATGAGTTCTGCATAGGCAGATATGGGACGAGCAACGCGTTTCTGTACGTGGCCACGCCAAAAATGGCATTTGATGGTCAGCGAAATCGTATTGGCACTAAATAGCCTTTCTACATAATCTATTGCACCTGTCGAGCAAAGAGAAAATGGGAATTTTAACAAATATAAAGGTTGGACTGTTGAACAATGTTGACACACGGTGATTGCATCTATGGGTTTGGGCATTTAGTCACAGAATTGATAATGAAGAAAAATGATAGACTATCATGTGTGATTTTCAGAATAAAAAACAGATAATCCCAGGACTATAATTGAGCTTAGTGTGGGGGTTGTCTTGTTGTCATCGAAACTATTATATCTGTACCTCACGATATGTTACGAAGGTGCAAGGGTTTCTTCGAAATGTACTCTCTTTTTCCCTCTTTCTCTTTCCCCCCCTCTCTCCCCCCTCTCTCCCCCTCTCCCTCCCCCTTTTTCACTCTCATTGGGGAACATATTTATTTTCTTTTCCCCACTGTCTATTTCATCCAGTTCTTCGTTTCATCTTATAATATATTTTTCAAAAATAAAGTCAACCAACCAGCCACCAACCGCTTGAAAGTATGGCACCTTTTTCACTCACTCAAACCTCACTCATCGTTTATCGGTCGACCCTCACTCACAGACACAGAAACGGAACACCTGCCTATCAGGGGCCTCCCACCGTTTTTAATTTAGCGGTAAATGTATAGAGTCCAACCCCACTACGGGTGCATCTACACACCGTGTTGAGTGCACTAGAAATTATTGTGTAAGTTTTTCGTTTGGTAGTTTTTCTAAAACAGATGTTAAAGAATTGATGGAAGGAGCTGTGAAGGGAAGGTTACCGTATGTGCACAAACCATACTACAAAATACATTGATAAAATGTTAACCCCGAAAAATGAAAGACGAAAGAGAAGTAGTTCTCTAGAGAACTACACAGTAGCCAGAGTCATGTTTTCTGCAGACTACGGTCGGCTATCAAGGATACTGCAGATAACGAGGATTGGGTTAAATGAAGGAAATGTGTTTTCCTTTTGAGACTGCTTCTTCTGTTATCTCAAACGCCCGGTGAAGTAACTTCGTTATTTATCTTTGGACGTGGTATGTCAGCATCCGACTCAAAATTTCGATTAGAGGTTTCGAGCTTTTAACGGTTATAACGTATTTTGTGAACTATGCATTGTTTGACTTTGATTTTCCGTGCGCCTCCAACAGCGCATTTCCCTTCCCAAGAAAAGTAGTGATGCTCATTCGGAGACGGAGACTCGTCACTGAAAACAATAGACCCTTCAGTGTTGAAAATGGTTTTAAACCGAAAGGTTAAGTTCTCTCTCTAAACCCTTACTTGAAGTTATCATAGTGCAGTGGGTACATCTCCCTAAGGAACAACAGCGTGAACCCACATCTCTGAATCGCCCGTAAATAATCTGGTGCTGATGTCTGTGATCGCCTGATCGCCTCTGGCAATGCCAGCGCTTTCACCAGATGCTCTGTCTTGCATATCATGCTGCAAAAACATTTTTATTCGTGTGTGAATCTCGTAACCAAACCATTTTCTGCGCTCCGGTATCAAACAAGGCAATCGCGCCACGCCACATTAGCGGCCTGTGTTGGGATATTGTGGCGATAAGGCGTTTCGATAAACTTGAATCATTGCAATCAGTTTTTGTCGCCATCTGTTTTATTTTTATCAATGTCGAAAGCGAAGTAAAGGGAAGAATGTAATTGGGAGCGATTCTCCCCTTGGGAGCTTATTTCAGGGAATTTGGTTTAAGGACAGTGTGGGGTGATCTGATTCTGAGTCCCCCAGTTTACTTTGTTCTCTTTCATGATTTCTTTGTATGTATGGAAAGGAAAACGAATAAGTAAAATTAAAAACAATACATTTAAAGGAAGACTTCGAATAAGGGCGGGATGGATGCTACATAGTTACGTTGGTGTTTTTCTGCGTTTTAAGGTGACCAATATCTAGATTTTTAGAGTGCGTGTCTGTCAGTCCTAGATGTTGACGTAGCACCTCAAATATTTACACACCTTCAAATTCAGGTCTTGGTCTATGTATACTTTTCATTCACGTTTAGCCTCTAGTAAGTCATTATAACGGGCACGGAATGAAAATCAATCTTTTGACCTACCTAGTTCGATAACGGTTTGTTTGCTTTTTCGATCCCCTTACTTCTTCCAACCTGGTTTCCCGTCAGCTTGAAGTTATGACGTTTGGGTGTTTACTTGCTGTACACACACAGCGCTCAGTCTGGCCCCGCCAGGATACGCGGAGTTAGGACAAAGACAGACGGTTTAGTTAAAGGCATAATTGGGGGCTGCAACCACCACAATTGGTTTGTGCACGAACAGTGAAATTTATTGGTTAAAGAAAGCAGCACAATTACGTTGTGAATGCGACACTGCGTAAACTTCTAAGAACCGCGCGCGGTTCGAAATCCCCCCCCCCCCCCCTTTCCCCCAAATAAAAAGTCTTTGTAAAATCATTAATGCTTCTTATTTTAAAGTCATTCAGCACAATTGAAAGGCTAATTCGAAATTAGATTTAAGACGAGTTTGTACGATTTAGACTTTGTTTTGTTTTTTTGTTTTATGTGTCTGTTTTTTGGTGTATGTTTTTTGTCGATTTTTTGTTTTGTTTTGTTTTTGTGAATTACATGGTAAGCTCAGATGTGACGATGTACTCGTCATTAGACTATTTGACCCCTTGTCCAAAGAGGTTGATTCGAATTGGACTATTTATAACCTCTTTGCCCTTGTCCCAACTCTGTGGAACAATCTGGTGCGGTGCGGTGCGGTCTCGTACGTGTTTGGCCGCCGTGTGGCGCGTGAGTGTCAAACTTCACGGAGGAAGTCTTCTGTGAAAAGAACGCTGGTCCTTTCAAAACATATTGGAGAGGTGCAAACTTTACTCATATAGGTAATTGTTGGCATGGGAGAGAAACATTGCGACCTCACGTCCTCTCTTCGCGGTTTTCTCGACCAGGAAATCTTACCCTTCCACTGATCCCCCTATTTTTCTAATAAGATATCCTCCCA